TATATAGAAGGATTTTTTTATAGTATTACTAAGTATTGGTTCCAAAATGATGTGACTATAATAACATTGTGATTATATAAGGGTTTTTTTTATATAGTGTTAATAGGAACTGGTTTTCATGAAAGGTGTGCTTATAACGGAGGATTTATATGATGTGATTGTATAGGGGGTGACTGTAGAGGGGGTCAACTGTATATATTTATGAAAATCTTATAAAATTAATGTTGAAAATTTTGTATATATTTAAATATATATAATTATTTAAAATTAAGATTCCAGACATGTCATATTAGGATTTGTTCAAAAATATTTCAATTTGCTAAAACTCATATTTTTATTTTTTAATAACTACTGATTTAGTTTAAATGAAGTATTTTTTATTTCGTAAAGCTTATTAATAAAAATATATGATCAAATTAGACATTTAGATGGTGAGATGAGATAATCGATCGTTAAAAATATTTGGGTTAAATTTCTTATTAAATTAATCATTTATTATTCAAAATAATATAAATTTTAATATTTTGATTATTATTATAGAATTTTAGATTTTAAGTTAGTAAGAATAATTTTATTTAATATGTTATGTTTAAATAATATTATTATTTTAATTATACAATTTAAAATTTTAAATTGAATTAACCGTTTAAAAAAATTATATGAAAAAGCAGGTTTGTTCTGGTCTAATATTATTATTTCATATTTCAAGTATATTGTACTAACTGATTCTTTGATTGTAATTTTAGATATTGCGAACATTTGTCATTTAACATTTTATTCTCATCCATAATAATTCATATAATAATATTATGGTTAATTCTTTCACTTCCAGGAGTTGGAATTGCTTTTCTAATTTCCTTATTTTTATTCCATTTATATAAAAAGAAGCCCCCAAATGTGAGTAAAATACCACCGACTAATGATCCTACAGCTATAGTAATTATAGCTGATGTTGATAATGCGCCGCCTGTTGCTGGTGTCGGAGAAGCTGTTGAATAATTAGTTGAAGAACCATTTTTTGGAGAAGAATTAGTTGATGGAACTATTGGATCAAAGACATTTGTCCAAATATATTCTTCATTATTACTAATATCTAGTAATAAAATATCATTATCGATCTTTGGATCATAACTTTGTCCTAATAAATTAAATTATCAATTTTATTAATTGCATATTTATCATATTTATAAACAAATGCATAATACAAGTATATTTACCAAATGATATGACCATATATTTTCCAATTACATTTGCTTGATGCCAATATCTGGTACCTGGAATTGTTCCAGAAATTTTTGGAATATACCATTCGTAATTTGTTAAATCTAATACATAAAGATCTTGGGATCGTACACCTTTTCCTCCAAAAATTATTACATGCTGCCCATCCAATCCTTAAAAAAATATAATAATGCAGTGATTGATGGGAATTCAATTATTTTTAATCACATTTTTTAAATGGGATAAATAATTACCAAGAACAACAGAAAAAGAATCTCTATCGGAAGGAATTGAGCCCGAAGTAACCTAATTTAATTATCAAAAGTTAATTAAAGATGTGATAGAAATGATTATGAAACAAATTTTATAAACTCACTTTCATACTCCAGCTATCGTTTATCGTATCATATAAGTAGACCTAGAATTAATTTATCAAAGAAAATATTAGCTTGCTTATAATTTATAATTCATTGTCTAATTTTAATTCACCTCTTTTAGTGAAATAAAGACATCAGTAGAGCCACCTAAGAATAAATCATTATAAATTATTGTCGATTGAAATTGTATATTAATTGAGAATTATTTTGTTTACCTAAATAAATAATTAAGTGATTTGATAATAAAGTTGCACCATAAGCATTTCTTGGAGAAGGCGCATTACTTGAATTTCCTATTTTCCAACTCAAATTTATTGTATCTAAAATAAGCATATCATTAAAAGAAGTTTTTTCGACAAAAATTCCGCCGAACAAATACGCCTTCCCATTATCATCAACGATGCCTGTTAGGCTACCTTTTCTAATGAGATTATCACTAGTTATTTTTGGTGCCCATGAATTAGTTTGAGTATCAAATGCATAAACCAGAGACATAGCTACTTTATTATTAATATAAGGAATTCCTCCATAAAAAATCAAGGTTTTATTATTTGCACCACCCTTAACGGTTGCTGCAGAAACATGAGATGGAACTACATTAATGCTTGATAAATCATAACTTAATACATTTTGAGTATTAAATGGAACGGAAAAGTCAATAAAAAAAAATTCTTTTCCAATTCTTGCCGCACCAGCATCATCTCGACCACTTAAGATATATAATTTACCATCAATAAATGTAGAACTATGACCATATCGCTGCGTAGGCTTAAAGAGCACATTTTGGCAATTTACATTATTCAATAATTGAATTAAAAACCATAATACGATAAGTATTGACATGATTAAGAAAAGAATTAATTTTCAAAAGAATTAGTAAAAAAATCTCTGCTTTGTAATACAAAATTTACTTGCATCAATTATGTCGTACTGTGTAAATGGTAATTTCTTTGTCGAAACATTTCATTATTTCATTATCACGTAAACAAATTTATTCACAAATAAATATTTTTTACGAAAAAAAATAACATAAATATATCTTCCGTTAAAGACGAATGAAATTTACCAGCTCTGTCTTTCCAATTTCCAACTATATAAATGAAATGGGAAGATTGCTAAGACAATCAGGTTCCGAGTAATTTTTAAATTTTTCCATGAACTTTATCACGTGATGATCGCAAATTGCTGATCGGTCGAAGATATAATTTTAATTTAATAATTTATTTTGTATCTCTATAAGATTAATTTGTTCATGTAATATTTTCAATTTAATCTAGGAACTTTTCAGCCCTATCGTAAAAACATTTTGACGCAGTAATGTTTGAAAATAAAAGTTCAATTTTGACCCATTGTTAAAAAAAAATTTTGGGTTAGTGTGTTTTTAGTTCGGACAATCAATTTTTTCTTGATCTCATAAAAATTGGGGAATTAACGAATTCGAATCTTAATTGGAAATTCTGATACTAAAATATATATCTAGCATTATTTTCAGTAATAACCCGAGCTATTTCTACAAATTAAATGGCAGTATGAAGCGTCATGTGAAACGTTACATATGATCTATCAGGATATGTGTGCATCAATCTGAAACAAACTCAAAGAACCTTGCAGGATAATGCAGAATTTAAATAAATAAAGTACAAATTATCAACAATACATAATGTTTTCAATAACGAAAAAAGAAATTTTTATTTGATGTGATTGGTTACACCCTTAACCTTTTAAATGAATTGATGAATTGATCCAATTAAATAAGATCTTCCATATTTAAATAATGGACTTAGCTTTATTTTTGTAATTTCTATATCGGGAACTGAAAAGGAAAAAAAGATGAATTGCGCCTTTTTTTTTTTAAAAAAAAAAGCGCAATTCATTTTTTTCAAACGAATTCAAGGCCACAGTTTTGTGTTACAATAGTTATTCAGCCACATTCAATTAAGGTATAATTACATTTAATTAATTATTCTGTCGAATTTCCTAGTATTGCATTTGTTTAATAATTACAAATGATTCTTTTATACTTTTAAATTTTCTTGCAGTACAATTAAAATTTACGAGATCCAGAAAGTCAATCGGTAATCCAAATATTCAATCTTTTTTTTAAAAAAATAAAAATATTTTATGATTCTCATTTGAGTCATTACATTATTGATTATTATGAAATGACGTGTTTGATTTTTTTTTTTTTGTTTTGATGCAAATGGCACAATCCTACATAAAATACATGTTTAAGAATACAAACAGCAATTTACATTATTTCTAAGTAATTTTTTAAAACATGATAATAAAAAATAAAACTAATTTTAATTTTCACATGAATTGCACTAACAATGAAAAATAAATAAAATGAAATGAATATAAAGTTATTTACCGTTTCTATTGATTTCTTGTCTAACTACCTGAATCATATCATGTTTAAAATTTTCTAAAACTATATCAATATTTTGCGCTGATGACATTTGGTTATTGCCACTTGAAGTTGCTATTGTTTCGTTATGATTTTCATGTATCGGAATCATTTGTTGTCCATAAAAGTAGGCAGCGTCGGTTATTGGCATTTGTTGCTCTATACCACTTGGAGATGCTATTGTTTCGTTAATATTTTCATGTATTGGAACCATTTGTTGTCCATAAAAGTAGGCAGCGTCGGTTATTGGCATTTGTTGCTCTATACCACTTGAAGTCGCTATTGTTTCGTTAATATTTTCATGTATTGGAATCATTTGTTGTCCATAAAAGTAGGCAGCGTCGGTTATAGGAATTTGTTGCTCTTGGTAATACATATTATTGGCAGGGATTTGTGGGTAAGGGATCATAAATTGTTTATAATTACTAATACTATTGCTTTGGGCAGTCAATTCCAAAACTCTATCATTATTGTTATTATTGTTATTATTGTTATTATTATCACTATTACTAATATTATTATTATTATCCATTCCATTCCCGGGAGTTGGTACCGCTCTCTTAGCTTCCTTTTTATCTATTTTCCATTTATATATGAAAAATCCTCCAAGCGATAGAAGGATAATACTAAACGAAGTTCCTATAGCTATACCGATAACAGCTGGCAATGATAATGGTAAAAATGCTGTGCCTCCTACCGTTACTGTTGGTACGATTGATGATGAATTATTTGAAATTAATAAATCAGTGGGATCATAAATATTTGTCCATACAAATTCATCCTTTTTAGAAATGTCTAATAATAAAATATCATTATCAACTGTTTTATCATAACCAAATCCTATATAGTTTAAAGGTTTGATTTAGAAATTAAAGATTTATATTTTATGCGTAAAATTTCAAAATGTTAAAAAGAAGACTGTGAACATTTATAAATCTATCAATTTTTATTATATTTACCAAATGTTACGATCATGTATCTTCCAATCACATTCGCTTGATGCCAATACCTGGAATTTGGAATTTTGCCAGAAATCTTTGGAACTTTCCATTCAAAGTTTACTATATCTAATACATATATTGCGTCTTGTGGTTTAATATCGTTAAAATTACTTATCCCTCCAAAAATTATTATTTGTTGACCATCCAATCCTAGTAAAATGTTGACCCAATTTAATAAGGTACAAGGCATTTTGATAACATTTTTTCAATAATGAAATTTACAAAATTTCTAATTTCTTACCTAGTACCACAGAAAAAGAGTCTCTATCAGAAGGTATTGTACCTGTAGTAACCTGTATTAATTTATTCGGAATGTTAATTTAATTAAAAATTTTATCTAATAATAATAATCGTCAATGTTTATTTACTTTTAAAATCCAATCATCATGAATCATGTCATACAAGAAGATCTAAAAAAAAAATGTTAATCTTCATATATGAAAAATCATAAGGTTTATCATTTCAAGTCACAGGACTCACCTCTTTTAATGATAACGAAACACCATCATTACCTGATGTGGTAAAAGTGCCGCCTAAACGATAAATTATTATAAGTAAAGTAAAAGATAATATAAAAGGTTATGGCAAATATTCTTAACTTCTTACCAAAATAAATAATGACATGATTTGTCAATATAGTTGCACCATAAGAACTTCTTGGAGAAGGCGCATTATTCATAACACCTGTAGTCATATTATAATTTATTGTATCTATAATAAGCATATCGTTTAAAAGAATTTTATCACTACTTCCACCGAATAAGTACATTTTCGCACTAACATTTACGACGCCTTTTAAGTTAGCTTTTCTAGTAACATTGTAACCAGTTGTGATTGGAACGCTCCATGAATTGTTTTGAGTATCATATTTATAAACTAAAGCCATTTCTACACCTTTATGTTGAATTCCTCCATATAAAATCAAATTATTATTATATGCACCACCTTTAACAGATGCGGCGGAATAATGTGCTGGGACTATATTAACGCTTGTCAAATCATGCCATAATATATCTTGAACATTAAATGGTACGGAAACATCAAGATAAAAAAATTCTTTTCCAACTCCATTATTCGTAATTAAATCATTTTGACCACCTAGAATATACAATTTATCTTCAATGAGTGTGGCAGTATGACTATATCGCTGTGATGGTTTGAAAGGTATAGTTTGGCAATGTATAACCATGAAATATTGAATTATTATCCATAGAATTATAATATATTTTGAATAATTCTCAACCATTTTTATGCTTCGCTTAAAGTTGAAGAATAATTATAAAGAATTAATTATTCAAAATTTCCATTTATACACACGTTTTATATCTACCGCAGTAATTGCATTTCAAACGCAGCCAAGGTGCATTTCTTGTCTTGCACAATAAACATGTTACACAAGATTATTACAGAACCTTTATTTGTAAATTCTCAATATACTTGGTCCTGTACCAGAAAACTATAATAAAACTGACTGCAGGTTTTTAAATTCCTTATAAAGATACGACTTATGTGTCATAATGTGAGGCACAGCCAATCAATTTCGTACGAAGCTTGTTTCGGTCAAAATGTATGATAGCTTATTCATTCGATCTATCAAAAAAAAAAAAAAAAAAAAAAAAAAAAAAATATTTCGTAAGAAATTTTTTTTATTAAAAGGATAGTAAGATTGTTTAATTTAATTTGTTAAAATTTGATCGTCAATAAAATTTGAACGGAAATTAGATTATTTTATTATTCAAAGCTTGACATACATAATGACTGTTTTATACATTCTCACTTTTAGCAAATATAAGCAATCGAATTGCAACTGTTATATGTCAATGGTGCCATTTATTAATCAAAGCGATCCGTTAAAATGATAATTAGATAATAAAACCGCGATATAGCAAAAAGGATCTAAGCGAAATGATATATTATAGGATCTTTATTCCAACAATATGTCACCTCTTGCTTATATGGTTATTTTTATTAGTGAACGATATTGTTAAGTATAAAAAAAATAATAAAATGCATAATTTGAACGTAGATTATTCATAAATAAAATACCAGATTGTATTTACTAACAGCCGACGCTTTAAAATATTCCGTCATCATCGATCATTCTGGATTTAATGATTTTGCTCATTATGCATTGCATATACAGTAATTAATTTTATTTAAGGATTCAGCCGGCGGCAGGCATGTTATTTAATGGCGCGTTTATGAATTTCTTTTTTTTTTTTTTTTTTAGCTGACCGCTCAAAAAGTTTTTTTAAAATTATTTCAGAAACGAAATATAATTAATTCACGAAAACTAAATTTTTGTTTCTGAAAATATGTCTTATGTTATTATACATCCTTAAATTTTCTTTTAAATACTGGCTAACCTCTTGATATTTTCATTAAAAAAAATCGTTATTGTATAGTATATTGATCATCAAAATAAAGGTTTGTCGATATTTAATTCTGTCTATTTAAAGTTACTTGGTTTATTTCACTATGAGTTTGATCATTTTTCCATCGTTTATCATTTTTTGCGTTACTCATTACAATGATTATCGGTTTCGTCGAACAGATGAAATTTTTTTTTTTTTTTAGTGTTTATTGTGAGTAATTTATTGCTTTTGAGGAGAATATAGCATATAATTATTTGTAGTTCCATATTATAAATAAATCTTTGCAAATTGTTCGAAAGTGGATCAATTAACCGCAATATTTATTTACACTAGAAGCTGATATCACCTCATTAATACCAAAATGACCGTCCGAGCAATTCATTAGTTTGATAGACAATAAATTCCGAAAGTTCTATTTTTATATCAATAACAACTTTGAATAGTGTTTTCTACATTCACAAACTTTCAACATTAAGGATTTTGAATTTCATTAAGATTTATTATGAAGGAATATATTTCTAATCATTATTTTTGGTCAGAATTTAACTTGAACTTCAACGAAGTTGATTTTCATTTCAATAGGATTAACTTCAAGTCTAAGGATTATTATTTCATAAAGTCTTATTAAAGGTAAATATATTGACTTTATTTATAATTTTTTTTTACACGTTTGTATCTTATTTAAAAAAAAAATGAAAAGCCAAATATTTCAATTAAAAGATTTTGGTTAGATAGAATATGTTGATGGCGGTACACTTAAAAACCATTTCAATGAAATTTTGATAAGATTCCTGAGGGAGATAAATACATTCAACTTTGCTTTTCGGTTATCTGATGCCGTATCGTGATCACATAACGAAGGAATTGTGCTCATAATTTGATAATAAAATCATTCTGACAATGTAATAATTAAATCGAGGCATTTCAAACTAACCAACCTTGGATTATCGAAAAGAATTGAAGACTCTATCTTGATCCAATTATAATAAATCGCTAAAATTATACATTATATGAAATAATAACATTTATATTATTGACGTGTTCTTATGAGAATTATCAGATAAATGATCAAATATTTATTTATTAATCAGACTTTCATATAAAGACTTTGAATTATCGGCTTATGAATCCTTATATTGATTTAATTTACTTATAAGGATCGATCGTTAATTTAAATAAATATTATTTCCAGATGAAGAAGATATTAAAGGCATACAGTGTATATTTATCGTAGGGAATCCGAGATGGGTCCGAAGATTTATACACTTTGTTTGCACAGTAACGTGTGTATGAATTTGGTAATACCAATGATAATTTATTTTTTCTTTTTAAAATGAGGATATCTAGCCTTAAGTTATGATAGGGATACATGTTATAGCTTTGTCGTTTTGCCGCATTTTTAGTGATCTAGACAATAATAAGGATGATAATGAAGATTATGTTACAATATAGTTTGTTAGGCAAGCAAGAAATTATGCTGGGTACCTTCAAATTTCATCCTATAGCAAGTTTATGCAAACTTTATGCAACATTCAATGATTTAGAAATCTTCACACGAAATTTTAATCAATTGCAACGAAACGATAATGATAAGAAAATAATTCAGTTTAATATTTAAAATTTATATATTCCAAAATTAATTATCACCATCAGTAAATTTTCAATACAACAACTTGCGAATAAGTTATGAAAATGATAAATTTTAATTTATCTGAGTACCTACAAAAATTTAGCGATCACGTGACATACAATTATTTATTACGCACTGCCTTGATTCATTTTTACAATTTATTTGAGTCGTGAAATCATATTTGTCACAAGCTATCTGTCACACCTTTAGATTTAAATTAGGGATTATAATGCATCCCTATTATCACTTCTAAAATTGTCGGTGCCACTGGGGCAGTGATGCTTACAAAAGTATAAAAATTGGATTGGAAGCTTCCAATGCAAGTGGTTTATTAGAAATTTATGCTTCCAAACCTTCCAAAGATGTTTCTAATGGTGCTTCAGATCTTCCAAGAAAACAAACATCATTGCACTGGGGTAGTTGTGCATGCCTCACATACTGCGGTAATATTAAGATCGTTACGCAGGATATAATTTGGGTTTTATAAAAAAATATATATATAATTTTTTTTTTAATTATAACAAACATGTCTGTAATAATATAAAGGTAAATGTTTAATAAGAAATATAAAAAAAGTCTTCCAAACAAAAAGAAAAAAACAAAAGCATGCATAAAATGAGTTTTTTTTACAGTTGAATGATATTCTATAAATTATTTTTAATAAATTTACATTAGAACCAATTTCGGATGTCGAAAGAGTTTCTCCATTAGAAGGTAATAGCATACATTATTTTTCGCATTCAAATACTATATAATTCGTCGATTATACTCATTTTTGTTCATTATAATTAAATTATATTAAATTCGAACATAGAAAAAGCTTCAAGAGATGGTGATAAATGCAATGATTCTCTAAATGGTTAACCAATACGTTAATATTATACTTTCATCACCTAAAATTGTAATACAGTTTATTAAATAAAAGCAAAATATCATAATACTTATAATATTGTAATTGTTTGTTTATATTAAATTTTAATAACTTGAAATGTAGGACTAGTTTTGAGTGACGAAAGTACAATAGAAAAATATAATTATAAACAAATATTGTTTTCTGTTAATATTAATATGTTCAATGTTCAAAATATTAGAAGTTTAGATGGTAAGGAATATTTAAATGCTAATTTATGATGTAATCTAAATAATTAATTTCAAATTTCTTCTCAAATATTAATTTACTATTATAGAGCCAGTTTCGATGCCCCCAATGCGACATGTCCGGATACTTCTAAGTGTAATACAGTTAAATAATGAGTAATGTAAGTTTTCAATTGAAAATATACGAACTACAATTCTGAGGTACTAAATTTCATGCTCGAGCTAAAACGAATAAGGCTTAATAAAGTAGGAGACTAGATATTATCGTCGAAATTCTAGTTTCGTGTTTGCTACCTATCAGGATTTTGAGTTTTATTTAATTGTTATTTTCTTTTTTCGTGGTTACTTTTGTACTTAGCTTTAAAAACGTAGTCGAATGCATGAAACTAAGAACTATTACAAGAGCTAGTTACAAAAATATTTAATAAAAATTAAAATTAAATATTTAAATCTAATCCTTTATTCCTTTATTAGCACTTCAAAATTGTATAGTCTTTCTAGCAAATCACTTAAAAAGAGATTTCATTTCACTTAATTTTATTTAAAGGGAATGAAATATTTGGAGATCGTATTAAAATGGGAGCCTTGAAAGCATCCTACGCATCCTACATTCGTTACCTATCCTTTAACTGGTCCGATACCGATTCAACATATTTTACAGCAGCAGAATGTAAAGTCTTTAACTTTATGAGAATTTATTTAATTCTTGGATCCTAATAGTAAACCAGTTGTAAGTATTTATTCCTTAAATTTATTTTATTTATAAGGTAGAAATTAGATGAAATGATCTTACGCGAAAGAATTTATATAAATTCTCATAGATATTAAAAGAAATCCGGATGGGTTTAGTTCTATAAAATTTCATAAAAAATATACTATATATAGTCATAAATAAAGAATCAGAAAATTGTTAGAATATAATGCAACTTCTGGCGCGGTAATTTCTGTGAACTTTATTATATTAATTTATCATTAAGAAATTATGTTTAACAAAAAGTTCTAAGGTATACTTTTTAACATACTTAATATTGAAATTAAATTAAATTACTATTTATATATTTAAAATAAAAGTAAATGATAATTTAAAAGTTTATTTAACTTCGATAATTGTCTTTTGTCAAGTCAATAAGTACTTTGATTATAGATCGTTGAATTATAATTTTGTGGAATCGCTGAATTATAATTTTGTGATATCGGTGAAATTTGTTGTTCATAATAATAAGGATTGATGACTTGTCCATAATTGTTCATACTCTGAATGGGAATTGCTATAGGTTCTTGTCCATAATTATTTCCTGACTTATGGGTATAGTTGGTATTGTTATTGTTTTTTTCGTTTTCCTTTTATTTTTAATCCATATAATCAAAGAAACTGATAGTAAAATCAAACCAACCACTGCTCCTATGACTATACCAATTATAGCCGATGCTTGTAGTTTCGAAGAAGTAGTTAATGAATTAGTTGGTGTAGGTTTTGGAGAAGAAATAATCGCTTTTGGATCAAATACATTTGTCCAGATATATTCTTCGTTATTACTAATATCAAGTAATAACATATCACTTTCAATTTGAAAATTATAGCCTTTTCCTAATAAATTCAATTTTTTTAATTTTATTATTTATAAAAAAAAAAGTCATTGCATTGCTATAAAATAACAAAATATTTATTTACCATATGATATAACCATATATTTTTCAATAACGTTTGCTTCATGCCAATATCTGGAAAGTGGAATTTTCATTTTCCCCGAAAGCTTGGGAATGTACCATTCGTAATTTATTAAATCTAGTACATAAAGTGCTTCTTGGGGTTCAACGCGTCCTCCAAATATGATTATTCGTTGTCCATCCAATCCTTGTATAGTAACAAAAATGTGATTAATTGAAATCAAGTATTTTAAAAAATCATTAAAACATTCTAGAAAACATACCAAGAACTACAGAAAATGCATCTCTATTACCAGGAATTGTACCTCCAGTTACCTAATTTAATGTTAATCAAATTAATCAAAAAAATTGGTTCAAAATTGATTAATAATCATAAATAATTATGAATTTGATAAATTTACCTTAGTACTCCAACTATCATTAATCGTATCATATAAATAGACCTAAGGATTCATTAAACTTAGCTTTCTTATGATTTATAATTAATGTTGATTTGAATTCACCTCACCTCATTTAATGATGTAGTCACATTATCCATGACGTTGACAGATCCACCTAAATCGTAATTATTTTATAAATTTCGCTACATAGCTTTATTTATATATGTAAGTAATTACCTACCTAAATAAATAATTTGTTGATTTGATAATAACGTTGCACCATAAACAGATCTTGGAGAAGGCGCATTGATCAAACTTCCCACCTCCCAATTCAATTTTATTGTATCCAAAATAATCATATCGTTATAATGAGTTCCGTCCTTAGAATGTCCTCCGAACAAATACATTTTGCCATTATAATCAACAATGCCTTTTAAGCTATCTTTTCTAATAGCATTACCACTAATTACTTGTGGTAACCATGTATTTCTTCGAGTATCAAATTCATAAACTAAAGACATTTCATCTTTATTAGTATCATATATTCCTCCATATAAAAACAAGCTTTCATTATTTGCTCCACCCCTGACGGATGCTGCACCAATATGTGCAGGAACTGTATTTATGCTTGTTAAGTCTTGCCAATTTAAATGTTGTGTATTAAATGGTTCAGAGACGTCAAGGTAAAAAAAATCTTTTCCAGTCAGATTCATCTTATAATCTATGCCTCCTAGGATAAATAATTTACCATCAATAAGTGTAGAAGTATGAGAAGATCGCCGCGATGGTCTAAAAGGCGTTTGGCAATTTACTTTGATTAATAATTGAATTAAAAGCCATAATACGAGATGTATTGAATATTTACTTAACATGGCTATCTAAAGATGACTAACTATTGTAAAAGAACTAATATGTTATAAAAAAAATAACATAATTATTTGTTCCGTAACGGTAGTTATGTTTATATTTGATACATTCATATTTGTTACATGTCTAATTTATTGGTTGCACGAAAAAAACTTTAACCAAGGTGTCACGAGAAGGTAAAATTTTCACAAGATTTTTCGAAATCAGAAAGCCAAATTTACTAAAATAAAAAAAAATGTAAACAAAAATATTTGCATGATCCATAAAACTATAAAAATAAAAAAATTATTAAACGGACGGTCTATCGATGACATGATATTTGAAATTTATCACGTGATAAACACTGTCTTTAATTTTGGATTTATTGTTAACGATAAACCAATTAAAATATATACAACGGATCAATCAATCATCCGGTTTCACAAAAAACGTGATTGAGATTAAGCTTCAATCTCTGAAAACGGTAACATGTTGATAATCCAATCCTAATCTAGTCCCCAATCACGTGCGTTTTGAAGTTTTACAAAGAGCCATATTATATTTATAATAATCGTAGTAAATGATAAAAGGTATAAAAATTTCATAATGATCTTAGGAACCGATGAAAGAATAATTTGTTTATGGATAAAATCTAGAACAAGAAGAGATTAAAAGATAAAATTGAATAATATATATTTAAATCAATAGTTTTTATTTCGTCAAATTTGATTTACGGTCATATAGGACGAAACCAAAAGTTATCTGGGTGGAAAGTTACAGATTAAGAATATGGTCTCACTCAAATAAGTTTCTTTAAAAATTCATAAAAGAGTTATCCAAGTTTACCGTGGGACAAATTGAATTGCGGTGCAGGTATATTGTAATCTTCTTAAAGAAAAAAAATTCTTTTTAAAATTAACATTTGCGTAACACTTTGAATCCCCTAATAATTCAGTAAAAATGAAGTAATGAGTCGCGGTTTATTGTATTTTCTAGTCAATAAAAATAGTCTAAAAGAATATAAACTAGATCCTAAATAAAAATTCTAAAAAACGTCCCCGTAAGATCACGTTTTTATGGCGTAAGTATTTCGAAGATTATTGAGTCGGAATTTTATATCTATTTGAAAGGAATTCATTTTGAAATCTTGTCATCATAAACAAAATATTATAAACTTTTTAAACTTTAAATTCACATTATTGATAGTAATTTTGCATGCTCTCCAAGATAACTTTGAAAGTCATGAAAGATTTTGAAAATAAATTTGTTATTATTTACATGTTTTGTAAAAAATTAATTAATTTAATTTATCCAAATTTAGAAAAATTAATCCGTAAGTATATGAAGTACTTCTAATACAAAGTACTACGGTCGAAGTACAACGAAGATTTACGAAGTTGTAATATCTTCGAAGTATTGCGGTCGAAGTACTCCGAAGGTTTACTGAGCTGCAATATCTGTGAAGAATTTTAACCATGATACTTTGTAATTATAACAGAGCTATAACCTTCAGAGTACTTCATAAATGTACGGAAGGGCATTATCTGCGAAGAATTCCTGACAAATTGTGACTCTAAAGTTGTGGTTAACTTTATTTGGCAAGTAACTTTACCGACGCTCCCTTACTAAGCATTTATGAAAGTCATTATATATCATATTTAACTTAGATCTGAGCCTTTTTTTGCAGTTAAATTTTTTTATCAAGAAAAAATGATAAAATAATAAAAATAAACGAATAAAGTATCTTAAAACAATTGTTAGGAAAACTTATTAAATTATAAATTAGTTTCATCACACAAATATAGTTGTAAAGAAAAATCTAGAAAAATCCCAAAAACTTGAAATTAAAATTAAAGAATTAGAGGAAAATAAAAAAGGGTTACATTCACAGTTCAAACATATAGAAGAATAGATTGAGGTAACCAAAGCCAATCTAGAAACTATTAATAATTTAGAAGGTTAGAGAGCTAACCAAAGCCAATCTTGGAAATATTAGTAATTTAAATGGAAAGGTTAGAGAGCGAGAAAAGCTAACCAAAGCCAATAAAGAATTTATTAATAAATTGGTTGGAAGGAAAATCAGAAACCTATTTATGATGACTAAGATTGATAGTTTAATATCACAAATACATATAAGGATGACATATTAAACACCTTAGGTGGATTGCAAAGGCCCATATAAACAACAACTTTACCTAACTCCTTAAAAATTCATAATTGTGAAACTCTCCTATTACAAGCTTATTAACTTTGCCTGACTCTTTAATGGAATTCTATACAAAGATAAACTAATTATTTAACAAACTCGATCGTTGTGAAATTCAAATCATCAGCTTACCAACTCTACCTTACTCCTTGACGTTGTTAGTCTCGAAAATGTTTGACGATTAAAAAAAACTGCGTACTGCGGCAAATGCATGAATAGCATACATAGCATACATGCTAATTATGGCAATCATGTCAAATATGTAACATTTCGAGTTAATTTCTTATATTTCCTTATTTTATTTAGTTTATTTTATTTTTAGCATTTATATTGTTTATGTTATCTATATAATTTATCATTGCGAAAATGCGTAGGTTATAATTTAGTATATATATACATTGAAAAAAATTATTTACAGAACATAGTCCGATCGTTGTAAAGTCTTGGTGATAGACTTACGGACTTTTAAATAATAAAATACATTTTTACACTTTCTTGCCTCCACATAGGCTCCGCTTGTGATAACTAACTATACAATTGAATCGTAAAATAAAGTTATTAGTGGTATATTCCAGGATAAAAGGGATTCCTGAATATCGTATTACATAGCATATATCGTTCGTTACCTTGGTTTCGGCACAATCCCAGGGCTAACTACGTATCTAAGTTGTAATAATGCTACAATAGTATTCAACACAGACTTTATACCACTTATACCGGATCAATTACCTAGAAACAAATATAAAAAAAAAAATTAAATAAATAAAAAACTAGCCTGTTGATTTCACATGGTCATATGATTCTATATGAGATCACGCGATTTGATTATTAAAGTGAAACTACACTAACTAATAATCAACAATTTTTTCAATAAACCTACATCCATTTTCCTTTACTTTTCGTTACACATTTCAACATTTTATTTCTGTCGCATATTTATTTATTTCTTTACACATAATGAGCTCAAATGAAAGTTATTAATAAAATTATGATTCACGTGATGAGGAAAACGAACTTTGCATTTATATTAGTTGTAACATTAGAAACTTGGAAAGAACTCGAAGTCCATCTAAAACGATATGCATTGCAAGAATTTTTTTATAAAAAAAAACAAGAGTTGGGTGTTGTTTGTGTCAAGATGAAATAAAGGTTTAGCAGAACAAAAATAAAATGAAATTAAACGAAGAATTATGAATGTACTTATTCTCAAAATCATATGTCGTTAACCTTGAAATCAAAGAAATAGGGAAATTTCCAAACAAATTGTCGTTGGCGAGTGTGACAAAACCTAAAAAGGTAAATCATGTTGGTGTAACTTCTGCTAAACTTGAACACAATAATGAAATGGCTCCCAATTTTGGAAATTTACACAGCCAATGCTTAATGACGTTGAATTTTATGTGAAGCATGGGACAACTAATGTAAGGCAAAAACATCCACCATTACGTGCAAAATTTTCTAATCATCCGAATTTTAAGAAGGATTTATATAATGCTATACAAAAGTTTAAGGTTGGGCAAAAAGATACAATTGAAAATGATGCTGTAAATCTTCCTGAATGGTTCTTTGAATTTCGATTATCTGAAGAAGATCGAATATTAATATCATTCACCTGATCAAATTTTTTATTTCATGGCTAGCCGGAACAAATCGTCATAATATGGTTTTATGTTTATTTCTTATTGTCGATAACTACATTTATAATTAATTACCGCAAAAAAAATACATATTAAATTAAAAGTCAAATGAACTTGATTTCTAGGACGAGGTATTTTTATCTAGCTTTTTAATATATTTGATAACCTTTTAGATCTCCTTTTTGATTTTCATATGATTTATAATGTGTAATTAAAATAAATTTATTTTTATAAATGAGCGATCTGATTATGTTGCTCATTTTAACGTAGAGGATCACGCTGTTAATGGGAACGAAGCCTCTCCTTAAATACTCTATTATTTTTTAGGCTCAATGTAATTAATTTTTGTAAATTAAATAATCCTCGCTTATTGTTTACAAAAGTCTCTTAACTTCTAGTTTTACTCATTTTAAATTCTTATTTCAAGAATTGGTATGTTCAACCGGTAGCATCCATTTACGAACCGATTTAAAGTTATATTGAAAAAGAAAAATCAATATATGAGTGAAGCGAAGCTTGTTTAAAGACAAGTATGACTTTACCAAATGTAAATCCAGCAAGTGCACATTTTATATTTACTTATATAATAAAAGTATATCTTATGAGAAATTTGTTGACCTATTTAGAAAGATAAAGTTTTATCTCTTACAAACTTTAAGAAACTATGATGATGCAGAAGAATATAATATTTTTCACGTGTTACTCTCGATCTTTGACTACGTCAAAATTGATCATATACTGTATACAGATCTGTTGTACCTTTCTGATCAATGGACTGATGGAATATATATGTAAAATTGACCATGTTTGACATCAGGGATCAATTAAATTGTCTATCTGCAATTCCGAAGGAAAATTAAGTATAAAATTGCTTCATTTTTGTTATTAATTTTTGATAGGATTAATAGGATAGCTGAGGCAGCAATGGTGGATTTTATTGAATTATTTATTGTGATCTGATCACCCAATTTTCGTTACATCATACATCGCTCTAATAAATAAATAAATTAATACTAATTAACTGCCTTACGATAATAGAGGTAACACATGCATAATTATCAAAGATGGGTGGCCATAATGTAGATTCATTTTAATTTGGATGAATAGAATATTGTTCAGAAGTCTTCGATCATAAACAATATCATAAAATAA